AGAGGATAGGAGGTTCCGATTTCTAGCAGCCAGTCAGTATGGTGGATAAGGTTTGCCAGCATGTCCTGTAAAGAGCAGGACTCAGGTTACTCGAGTAATTTTCTGTTTTGTGAAGCGAATGCACTGGCATGCTGAGAACGAGGGCGTTCATTTTTTTAAAGGCAAGTTTCTAGCCCCTGTGATAGCAAAGAAAAAGTATAGGAATTAGGGCTGAAAGACTGAATGGGTGTGAATAACTAACGACTATTTTGCAGAGTGGTGGGAATACATGTGTGAAGATGTGTCCACATGGAAGTTCTATTCTACCTCCAGCCTCCTGCCCCAGATTCCGTTACCCCACCTTTCCCCAGCCCCATGGCATTGCTTGTTTTGTTAAGAGTACTTTGCTGTTCAGTTGTTTTCTTACTTTGTCATCTGCCTTGAATTTCAGTGAGAAAGGTGGGCTATTAATGAAGTTTATTATTATTATTTTTATTATAATAAACCCCCTGCCTAAATTCGGAACTATTTGGGGAGGTTCCTGTTCTTCACTGCTAGACGTGTCCTTCCTGGTTTTGCTCAGTCTCCTGTGCCTTCCGTTGTCTCACCTTTAAGTCTCCAGAAAGAAGAAGAAGAGATTGGATTTCTACCCCACCCTTCACTACCCAAAGGAGTCTCAGAGTGGCTTACAAACTCCTTTCCCTTCCCCTCCCCACAACAGACACCCTTTGAGGTGGGTGGGGCTGAGAGAGCTCTGTCAGAAACTGCTCTTTTTCAAGAACAGCTGTGCCAGAATGCTGGCTTGCCCAAGGTCACATCAGCAGGTGCAAGTGGAGGAGTGGGGAATCAAACCTGGTTCTCCCAGATTAGAGTCCGCACACTTAACCACTACACCAAACTGGCTGGACTAAATGGACTAAACTCATCCCCCCCACACACCTCTTGGCTAATCCAATGAACTGTTCTTCTCATCTCTTCCCCCTGCAATGCCTGTGGAATGGAAGCAGGGGGACTGCAGAGAGAGAGAATGCGGAGAGAAGAAGGGGGGGGGGACCTCCTCCTGCCCTTCCATCCGAGAATCTGTTCAAGATGAGAGGGGTGGAGTTTCTGGAGGAAGGCAGACACAAGCAAGAACAGGAAAAGGGGATTCCTCTGGCCTCTCAGCTGGCCATGTCTGTCTCTGACTTGCTTCAAGAGCAGGGTTGGGGTGATTGGAGGAAGGAAACCAGGGGAGGAAACCCTCACCCACCTCTTAGCCTCTTTCCCTTTCTCCATGGCATTAAACCAAAGGCTTATGGGGGTGGGGGTCCCCCGAGAGCCAGATGAAACTCCAAGAGATAGTAGTTGGCTTTCCCTTTGGAGTATGAAATAAAGTGGTGGGTTTTTTTTAAGAAAAGAGAGAGAAACTAGTTGGCAACCTTCACACCCATTTGTTTAAAATAATTACCTGCAGGTTCCCCTGTCTGTAAAATTGGGGGCATTCTGCATCACAGAAGGCTGAGGGCAAATGGGAGAAGGCTTTTGCCTGGCTTGCAAATGAGAAATCTAGATGCATTGTCTTTCCTGCTCCTAGTCCTGTGTTAACAGAAACCCTAAACTGTAATGCAAATCTTTTGGTAAATCTGCACAGACTTTCACCTCCTAAATCGAAGCATGTTTTCCATTACAGCCTTGTTGACCTAACCCCCCACCCCACCCCGCTTTCATTCCTCAAGCAGTTAACAACGTGACACTTGCAAATCACCAAACATATTAGAATGCACAAAGCTTTATTTTTTAAACCGGAGCTAAAGGGAAAGGCGGAGTTTCCAGATCTCCAGCAGAGCAAGTCTCGGTGTGAACAACATGAGCAGGATTAGTTAATCTCCAGGATGTGGGATTACCGTGCGAAAAAGGGTCCCCGGCAGCTGCTCATGCCACTGAACTTTATTTTTATACAAGCAGATTGTTGCTTAGCGTGTAATAATTTCAGCCTCACACAGGGAAACATGTCAGCTATGGTCAGTATGTCAATTGTAGCAGCATCTGGTTATGCCTGTCAGTCCTTGCAAGCAATTACCAGAAACTGACGCAGCCTTGGAAGCTGTAACTTCATATTCCAGACTGGTGGGGGGAAATCTTTTACTGGGTTAAGTCCTGTCAGGCTCTGCCACCTTGTGGTAAGCAAGAGAAAGCATCATTCTGATTGACACAATTTGCATAGTCCTACAGATTCACCCCGCCCTTCACCCAAAGTAAAGACACTTCCTCCTCGGGAGGAAAGCGGTGGCAAACTTAAACAACATGATAAAAAGTAGAGACATCACCCTGCCAACAAAAGTCCGCATGGTCAAAGCAATGGTATTCCCAGTAGTCATGTATGGCTGCGAGAGTTGGACTATAAGGAAGGCCGAGCGCCGAAGAATAGATTCTTTTGAACTATGGTGCTGGAGAAGACTCTTGAGAGTCCCTTGGACTGCAAGAAGATCAAATCAGTCAATCCTAAAAGAAATCAACCCTGACTGTTCCCTGGAAGGCCAGATAATGAAACTGAAGCTCAAATACTTTGGCCACCAAATGAGAAGGGAGCACTCACTGGAGAAGACCCTGATGCTGGGAAAGACTGAAGGTCAAAGAAGACGGGGGACGGCAAAGGATGAGATGGTTAGACAGTGTTATAGATGCAAGGAACATGAAGTTGAGCAAACTTCAGAGGACGGCGGAAGACGGGCCTGGCGTGATCTGGTCCATGGGGTCGCGAAGAGTCGGACTCGACTGTGCGACTGAACAACAGAAATAGATTCACCTCTGCAAGGCTTTGGGAGACATTCTGCACTCCTTTTAATCCACGTTCACCGTGGTGTTCTCCAAGCCATTCTACACTAAAATAAAATTCAACCTTTTAAATCCAGTCCCCCACAATTCTGCACTAAAATCGAGTTCAACCTGCTTTTTATTCCGGGTTTTCCCACCATTCTACATGACATTACCTCCCTTTAGTGGTCAGACGCCTGCTGTTGCCCCAGGTTATTTGGATGCTGTTTTGCTATGGACTTAAATTGCCTCCACTTGAACACTGAGAAAATCCGGAGTGGCAGGCAAATGCGGAAAGGGCCTGTTATCTTGACAGCCAGCCTCCAATGCTGTTAACAGTTGGAAAGAATCTCAGATGTTCACAAGGAGAAAATCTTGAGGGGGGATTTTCATGGGCTGGGAAAGAATGATCTTGATGATGCAGCAAAGGGAGGGAGGCTCACTCACTCTGCCTGGCTCTGAAAGGGAGGTGGCTAAGATCCCGTCTGCTAGCATCAGCTGCACTATTGCCATACCCAAGGGCTGCCAGGAATAGCTGTGGAGAAGTCGCTTCTGAGTACCTGCCCAGTTCTTTATCACGACTTTCTTAAAGGTTCATCACCATTCTTTGCTCTCATTTAGAGAGCAGGGCTGCAATACGGAGTTGATTGATCAAGTTAGCTCAATTGATTAAAATCCTTTTGAGCCGTTATAAAGGTGCTTCCTGCTGAATCAGCATTTAAAAACTAGTTACCTTAAAATATAGGCTTTAGAAGTATGGCAGTTACCATCACAGAAGGATCTTACTAAAAACCTGTCAGCTGCCATTCCTAATAATAGCTTTATGTAAAATGCTTAAGGGAAAGACACAGTGGGGCAATCCACCTCTGTCTTGCTTGTTGGCCCTCAAGAGTGCCTAGTTGACCACCGATGAAAGAGGATGCTGGACTAGATGGGTCACTGGCAGGGCTTTTTTTTGTAGAAAAAGCCCAGCAGGAACTTATTAGCATAATAGGCCACACCCAACAGCAGAGACCATTAGCATATTAGGCCACACCCCCGACAGCACAGCTTATTAGCATATTAGGCCACACCCCCATGTTATCAGAAGTGTGGTCATCCAACCACACCCACTTTTTGCTTCTTATTCTGTTTACCTTGTTTGTTGTCAAAACCTTGGGCTTTTTTGTAGCAGGAACTTCTTTGCATGTTAGGCCACACACCCCTAATGTAGCCAGTCCTAATAAGTGTCTGCTGTTAGGTGTGGCCTATTATGCTAATGAGTTCCTGCTGGGTGTGGCCAACTCAAGAGCCAGCCGGAACTCCGTTCCTGTGCATTCCTGCCCCAAAATAGCCCTGGTCACTGGTCTGATCCAGCAGGGCTCTTCTTATGTTCTTGAACAGCCCTGTCTGACTGCAACGGACTGGCCCCTCTGAAATTATGTAAGGTACCCTGTTACACGTCCCAGTCCCCCACCCCCTTTCAGAGTACTGATCAGTATTTTGCACTAGCTATAAGTAGCCCCAAATAACTTGTTGAGGGCCTATAGAGAGATATCCACTCGAGGGATATTCCAGGCCCATTTCTTGCATTTACTGTAATCCTATCCACTTTCTTAGTAGGCATCAAAACTTGTGTCCTCCTTCCAATGTTCTGTCCAATGGAGCAAAGGGACTCAGATGATTGATGAGCATTTGGATGTGTTCCTTTTAATTGGTATCCAGTTACAATATAATATTAGACTACCTGGATTTAGATTCTGGCTGGCTTGGTGTGCGTTGATTCCCCTCCACTGTATACCCCTTAGGCCTCTTCATTACAAAATTTCTGGCTATGGGCCTGCATGCAGAACACATTGCAGTGATCTGTCAGAGTTACCTTGGAGCAGGCATGGCAGGGGCTGTTCTCCACAGAGGGTATGGAAGACTAATCAGATGAAACTGGAACCACCTGCAGGTCAGGTTCTTCTTAAGCATCTCTGATTGCAGAATGTGGCTCCAGTGCAGTTGAAATCCCTCTGGAATTAGACACAACTGGAAGAGACTGGAACTTACCTCCTTTATGAAGCACCAACAAACTCTGGGATGTTTCCATTGCACTGGGAGTCTGGTGGTGGTTGGAGCCTTGCCAGCACAGGTGCAACACTGCCTGCTAACTGGTGGCACCATTGCAAAAGCAGCGGTGTTGCTCCACCAGAGCTGACTTCATACTACATTCCAAATACAGGGCATAGTATGGATTGTCCTATGGATTTCTTGTGAACAGCAGATGTAGGAGGCTGATGACCCTATAGGTTGACTCTGGCTGCTGCTCATAACTCTGATGCTAGACAAGAGTGTCTGCATTAATGCAGCTGAAAGAATAGGCATTGTTGTCTTGGGTCCATTGTGGGGAGAAAATCGCATGGATAATCACAGAGAGGAGTCAGGGAATTATGGGTCTTTTCAGGAATGCGTCCAGAGAACAAGAAGATTCTGATCTTGACTCCACCATTGAACTAGCCATGCATTCTCCTATCTTTGCAAATGGCAAATTCTGTACTACTCGCTTTGCTGCATGCCATTTAAACCATTTGGCTATTTTATACTAATAATCATTATTGGTGTGTTGTATGAATTGTTCACACACATTAAGGAGTGGAGTTTGCTCCCAAATCAATAACTTTGACATATTTATACCAGTAGGAATTTCATGATTGATTTGACCACATGCCTTTTTTATTCTAGGTTACTTAACGTGGTTTAATATACACTGTGGGTCCCACAGGCAAAGAAAGAACCTCTGGATTATCTAGGGCCTCTTTCCCCCCACCGATGACTCCTTTCAGCAATGAATTCACTCTTGGCTCATGCAAAGGAATCCACATTTGAAAGTGAATGCAGCAGGGAATCGCCCTCCAGTTCCACAAGGTGAACCAGGTTTTGGAGGTGATCTAAATGAGAGCTGCCATTGCAGATTCTTGGACTTAGGTGTGTTCTCATCTATACCAGTCAAACGGCTATTTTCAGTAGCAGATTAGTCCATTGTTCCCTGCTGCCCCTGACTGTCAAAGTCATTCTTCATCTATTAGCCTTCCGATTGCCAAATTGGCAGGAATGATATCTTTTTACATTTATTTTTAGAGGCGTGACTGTTAGGAGGTGTCACAACTTGCTGTGGTTGTGATTACATCTGTACTGAATGTTCAATAAGCCTTTCCGCGGCTGTCTCCCTCCCCCTCCCCTTTCCCCTGCTCCTACACTAACCAGCCAGAAAGGAGCTACCATCACACGTTTCCCATGTGCCAGCTTCCAGTGGCTTGGCAAGCTTCCAGCAGGTATAGGTCCCTCTAAACAGGTTTATCCCAGTGCTGGTGCACGCCTTCCCTTTGGAGAGATCTTCTGCACACACCCCATGGAAATGAGCAGGTGCCGGGCGAGAGAAGGGAAATATCTCTGTGAAGATCACAGTCGTTTCAGTAGGGCTGGCACAGAAGAAACGCCCTTTGGGGAATGCCATTTCTTAAAAGTATCTTCCTCTTAATCTTTTTCGAATAGCCCTGCTAATCAACCTGGGTTGCACCCCACCAATGTTCACTGTGCAAAAATGATTCTAGTCCAATTTGCTGCTTCTTTTGTTTCTTTATTTTACGTCATGCAGTGCTGCTGCTGCTGCTTCCAACAATTGCCATGCGACTACAGATTTCCCGGGTAAACAGTCTGTTTCCCTCAATGCTTCAGGAACCGCCCCATTGCCAACATTGGCACAGCACATGGCTCATCAGTATCCTTTTATTTCTCAGGAAAGTAAAATGCCAGAGAAGATCCAACTGCAAGGAGCTGAGAGGAGAGTCTCTAGTGACACTATCCTGCAACACCACCCCCTCCAGCAAGCGTGGTGTGGCATGCCAACAGTGCCCTTGTGCCAGCCATATACAGAAGTGGCCAACCGATGCACCTCAGCACACCTCTTTGATGTCGCCCTGCCCCCCCACCCAAAAAAAGGACAAGGGGAAAGCACCACACCTCCCTTTGTTCTGCAGGACTGTGGGACACCCAGTAGGAGCCCCATAGCTATCACACTACAGGTAGCTTTACACATGTGGGTTTGAATGCTCTTCTGCAAACGCATACCCTTGGAGCAGGTCAGCACATAAGGAGCCCTCTCACCCAGACACCTCCACAGCTCCCTTGTCAGAGAAGACCCCCTCCCCAAAGGAAAGCCCACTCCACAGCAGCATTGCATTCACTGGCTGCAATGCTGGTGCCTCTCTGAGCTCCACCAGGCACTTCTCTGAATCATGCCGAGGTCCCTTTGTGTTTCGCCAGCATGGGGCTCAGTTGCTATTTTAAGCACTTTACAGACTGTCTTGTAGGATTGCACTGTGAATCTTTCAAAATATACTGTATTTATAGATTTCTTTTTTTAAAAAAATCAACGGTTGAGTAAGAGGGATTTCCTCATTTCTATTTTCTTCATGCTGCTCCAATTTCAGTCTTATCCTGCCACGGCCCCATATTTCAGTAGTTTAGTTTACTCCGTTCCAAAGACGCTGGGTAATTGAATAGATCTATGAAAGGCACCTGTTTATAAAAGCTATGACATATGAAAGGGGCACTAGATGGTGGGGGTTGGACTATTAAACCACCCTCTCTAGCCTTGCCGTTCTTTAGCCACACAACAGCCCCAATATACATCTCAGGACCAGTTCACCCAAGTGCATGTTCATCGTTCAGGGGTGACCTGCATGTGTGAATAAGAGATTGCAGGTCACAATGCTGTAGATGGTACAGTCACCACATGAACAACATCCATATGTGAACCAGCCCTTAGGGATTCTGATGAAACACAATGGATTTCATATCTAGATATGATGACTTCCATACAAGGAAAAGCATGCAAATTGCATGTAGATTGTCTCGTTCTTCTAGGAATTGCATATGCAGTGGAATAGACAAGTGTGATCTTAATAATAAAGACTGAGTTGGATCCCTGGAACATTTCCGAGTGCACAAGGGCTCTTGTGCAGTGGAAACAGAAGAAAGCCACTGCAAGCACCCCTTGTACTATCAGCTTGGCTATACCCCATCTAGTACAAGGTATATTTCAGCACACATCCACACGTGCCCTGGCATAATGACCTTCTTTGATTCAATTAGACTGCAGTGACTGCATGAATAACTGTTTGATTCTTGTACACAGCAGCACTGATCAGAAAAGAAAAACCAGCTCTTCATCTTATGGCAACATTTGTGCAAATGAAATTGCATCAAGTAATACCTCTCTTCCATTATTGCATTGTGAGACCCAACCCACTATTTCCAAGCCGCCCATAGTTTGTTGGGTATTAGGATTGACACCCCTCTTGAAAGAAGAAGAAGAAGAGATTGGATCTATACCCCGCCCTTCACTACCCAAAGGTGTCTCAGAGCGGATTACAAACTCCCTTCCCTTCTCCTCCTCACAACAGACAGCCTGTGAGGTAGGTGGGGTTGAGAGAGCTCTTGACAGAAACTGCTCTTTTTCAAGAACAGCTCTTATCAGAACTACGGCTTGCCCAAGGTCATCCAGCCAGGGGCAAGTGGAGGAGTGGGGAATCAAACCCGGTTCTCCCAGATTAGAGTCCGCGCACTTAACCACTACACCAAACTGGCTCTCTGCTCTCTGAAGCAGCTCATACTGCATATGCTCAGGGGCACTTGTGATTGCAATTTTTACTTAACGTGCCTGAGGACTGACACCAAGGCTGAGGCTAAGCTGCACCACAGATCAGCTCCTGGACTGAGGATGAACACAGGCCGGGATCCATAAGCTCATCTGCAGTCAGGCTCACACCAGGAAATGATCAGAGTGAGAGAGAGAGTGGGATGGTTTGCAATGCAGGAAAAAGAGCTGGCTTAGCCACCCCTCAAACACTGCAACATGAAGTGGTGATATGCACATGGGAAGGGACCATCACAGCTTCTCTAGAACTTTCCTGCTGTTTGATACTTTACTCTATTATTATATTTATGGTTTTAAGAATTGTTATTCTATTAACAGATGTTATACTTTTATACTATACAGTTGGAATTTTATTCTGCTCTTATGTAAGCCGCCCTGAGCCGGCCTCGGCCGAGAGGGCGGGGTAAATATAATAAATGAAATAAAAATATAATAATCTCTTACACTAAAACAGATTTTTCAAAAGAGTGAGTCAAACCAGATACAATGTTTTAAAGAAACATGAAAGCCCAGGTCTGCCTTGGGTTTTTTTTTGAAGGGCTATAACTGTTTAGGGGGGACTGGTTTCGATGTGCAAAACTATGGAATCAGATTCCCTCTGTCCCATACCCATGTGATCTAAATCCAGATCGGGGGGCCCCTGTGTGGCTGTCATGGGAAGTTTACAAAGCAGGCTGGGAAACTGACCTCCCATGGTCTTGTCTGGTTTGAGCATCAGTTCACAGAGTCAGTTGCCAGTCCAGAAGTTTACACTTTTACATATATGGGTGAACCAATTCTCAGACCAGGGGTGCTCACTCCACAGCTGACGTTGAGCCACATTTGCATTTACCAAAGGAGACACAGGACAATGGTACACGCTGCAAACTGCACACAATATATATGCACGTAAGTGCTGTCAAGTCACAACCGACTTATGGTGACCACAGCATGATGCTTTCAAGGCAAGTGAGAAGCTGAGGCGATTTGCCATTACCTTCCTCTGTGGAGTCTTCCTTGGCGGTCTCCTAAGTACCGCCCCTGCTTAGCTTCTAAGACCTGACGAGATAAAGATATACCATACCATTCCACATCCCCACATATGCAGTAGTATATTAATATTAAATGTATATAATTATAAACTTTTAAATGACCAGAGTACCTTTGTGATGCAGGGCCGTCCTTCCTCACTACTGGTAGACCTCAGCCATCCAATAAGCATCTCTTTCTTAGACATTCCAAAAGCCAACAGATAGCTAGGGGATTTAACCTCATGGATAACAACTCATTTGAGTGAACGGTTAATACATGGCAAAGGGATGACTGACTGTCTTACCGTTCCCATATAGATTGGCTTTTCTAGCTTTATCCCATCTGTTTGACAATTGTAACCCACTTCAAGCCCTTGGGGTGAAACTAAGGGACTACAAATCAAAATGAATGAATGCATTCGCAGCTCATTAAAACCCTACTGTCTTTGCAAGGCTAGGCAATCAAACCGTAATGCGTTTATATGGGCATTTTAATGAAGGGTGAAAGGATTTATCAGTCGGTACAATTAACCACAGAATTTAACTGGGTTCTTTAATCTGATTGGAGTTGTCCCCAAATTCTGGATATCTGGTGCATTCATGTACATAGGTTTCCCAACAAGATGATTCGAAAAACAATAGTTTGTTGATGTGGACTAACTTGTTTTTTAAAAGTGCATTCCGAAATGTTTTTTAGAGGGCTTGGGTTTGGCTGGCCTTGGATGGAGCAGAGTGAGCAGTTCCGCAGGGCCTGTAAGACGGAGCTCTTCCACCAGGCGTATGAGTAGGAGCCGCCACTACCATCATTATGATTCCATCTTCACCTGGCCCTGGATGAGGGAACATCAACGTTTCCCTGGAGCAGATGATGCTGAACAGCTGAATTACGCCATCTATGAAATATCTCGTTGAACATCAAGAGCACTTTAGTTAAGAACTTGTAAATAATGTTTTTGTACTGTTGGGATTTTAAATGGTTTTAAATATGTTTTATATTGGCTTTTGCCTCCATGTAAGCCGCCCTGAACCCGCATTGCGGGGAGGGCAGGGTATAAATTGAATAAAATAAATAAATAAATAAATTAGGAGCCTGGAGAGACCAAGGGGCCTCAGCTTCACACCCAGCTGCTTTTCAGCCTTTTATCAGCTGCCTTTTTTAAAAAAAAACCTGTTTATTTATAATTTTCAGTATACATCATGTCATCGGTTTACATTTCTTATTCTTGTGAGTCATATTTATTGACATTATCTAACCACACATAAAACATTTCCCACCGTTTTTCAAATATTTCCTTGCTATTACCTTGTATTGTTAAGCTTAATTTATCCATTTCCGCTACTGCATTTGACTGGCCGGCTCTCTACTCTCTTAGACTCAGCAAGGCTTTTTTTATTTGACAGGGCTTGAAATGGCTTTTAATGAGGTATATAAACTGCAAGCATCTTTTTTTTGGGGGGGGGTCTGGGGTTTTATTCTATTGGGTGTCAGCTGTGATTTCAGCTGCTGTGAGCCACAAGGAAAAGGCAGGATATAAATATCTAAATATTGCAAGAAGAAGAAAGAAGAGAAGAGATTGGATTTATACCCCACCCTTCACTACCCAAAGGAGTCTCAGAGCTATTTGCAATCCCTTTCCCTTCCCCTCCTGACAACAGACACCCTGTGAGCAATGCTCCCTCTAAGCTCTAGAGGCTTGTGAGCAAAAATTCAACATTGTGAGCTACTGGCCTTAAAGCTGTGAGCGAGTGATCTGGCTGCTGCATAAATTAGTTTGCTCTGGAACCATCCTTCCTGAGCTAAGACAAAAATGTGTGAGCTGGAGGCTAAGAAACTGTGAGCTAGCTCACACTAACTCAGCTTAGAGGGAACAGTGCCTGTGAGGTAGGTGGGAATGAGAGAGCTCTCTCAAAAACTGCCCTTGAGAGAACAGCTCTGAAAGGATTTATGACTGACCAAAGGTCACACCAGCAACTGTTTGTGGAGGAGTGGGGAATCAAGCCCAGTTCTCCCGGATTAGAGTCCGCGCTCTTAACTAGCTCTCAAAAAGTGTGTCTATATAAGTTCAAAAGAAGAAGAGTTACCCTGCTGGCAGTGCAGTCCTTATCGGAGTCCTGCCCTGCTAGGTCTATCAGAGTGAATGGGCTTAGAAGGTTGTAACTTCGTTTAGGATGGCACCACTTGTCTTCTGCATTTTTTGCTTTTGCTATGCATGTTCTGCTGGAACCTTTTCCATGTCGACTTCTGAATCTTTGAACTGTGAGATATAAACTTTAAATACACAATGGCTACTTACGGTTTTCAGCCAAGGCATCCTGCTTCCCTCAGCTCCTGAGGTTCCTGTTCTGCGGGTCCAACTGGCAGTTGTCCTCATAACTGATGGTTAGCCTGAATGTTCACATCTACTGGGTAACGGGGGTGGGGGGAGCTTTGTATTTCTGAACTGGTTGTGTGAACAGCTCTCCTGGACGGTAAAGTCAACTGATTCAGTCCATGCATTTGCTGTTTCCAAAAAGTTCTGTGAATGTCTCTGTCAGGACTCCTTACCCCTCAGTTCCACCCCCCCCCCGCCAACATGTGCGAGATTCAGCATCTGGACCCGTATATTAGAGGGCTGGAGAGAGATGTCTGTCCTCCAAAGGAGCTTAAAAAGCACTTAAAGAAACAAACACCGTCGGGTATGCAGGCATCCGTCCTGTGAGCCTTGCTTGTCGAAGGGGGCACGATTGCTATCTCCTTACAGGAATCATAGCAATTGACACATTTAACCGCTAGGGGTCCGTCTCACTCCTCGATTGCAACGGAGAGGGAGGAAAAAATAAGTCTGATCTGAATGCTCAAATGGCAGCGAAAGGGGGGAAGGGGGGGGGGATGCTGGAACCAAGACGGCGGAGTGTCCAGATTTTGGCGGCCGGGGTGGTGGTGGTGGTTCATGGCAGCCCCAGGCCGACGACGATCCGGTAGATTCCTCCTAGATCGAGCAATGTGCGGGGGGGGGGGGGGGGGGGGGGAGGCGGCTCCTGCGTGTGGATGGCGGCTCTGCCCTGTGAACTCCTCTGCCAAGCGAAATTGCACCATCTAACTTCAGTGGGTGGGGACCTGGGTGCTTCCTTAAACAGGCAGGAGACGCGGCGAGGCAGCGAGCGGAGGGAAGCGAGGCAGCGCCGCGATCCTTTTGGGATTTTTAAAATTTATTTATTCCTGGCTTGGGTGGCTGCCATCGCCGCCGCCGCCGCCGCCGCCTCGCTCGCTCCCCGGCTCTTCTGCGACGCAGCGGCCGCCTTCGCTCTCCGGGAAGTGTCATCTCGCACGTGGGGCTCGCCTTGCGCGGCGAAAACTTTCGAGGGATACTTTGCTTCCAACTTGGACACTCGGCTCGGTGACATCGGAATGGGAGGGGGAGAAGCGCCTCGCCGCACGGATCCCGCTGCCGTCGTCTCATTGCGGGGAAGGGGGGGTGTCTCCCCCTTGCCCGTTCTGGCCGCTATTGGAATTCCCCCCCCCCCCCCCCCCCCCGGCATTAAATTGCGTGTGTGACCGCCACCCTAAAGTGAGAAGTTTTATTTATTTGACAGTGAAGCATCTCTTTGTTGAGGGCTATAAACTCTTAGGATTCATTTCAAATATATATGTGGGGAAGTGTATTATATGTTTTGTTGCATCATACTTTTATGTAAATATACGCTCTAAATATCTAAACTCTGTATTGGCCAACATGATGGGTACACAAGGTAAGTGAAGCGGGGAGTGGCCGGCGGCGGGAGGGGGGGAAAAAGAGATCAACTACGCACGCGTGTATTGGGGTGTTAAAACTTTTCCTGCTCCGTTGAAAGGGCTGTGGGTCAATTTCACCCTCCCGCGTGTCTATTTCACGAAGCTGAGACACGTCTCCGGACCGGGTCCCTTTAAATTGCCCCGCTACGTTTGAGATTATTAACCTGGGACACCTTCGGGAGATCAGTCAATACGGGGCTGTGTCACCGTGGGCAGGGCTCTCCTTTGCGTTGCTGCCTGGCGACTTAACCTGCATCCGAGTGGCGCGGCCGTAAATCCTTCCAGAAGCACCCCCCCTCTCCCCCAAAAAACCAGCCTCCCTGACATTTTCACACCCTCTCTGGTGCACCTCGCCCCGTTTTGTTGAGAGGGGCTTGTTTTGTCAGCGCGTTTTGAGTGCATTTTAAAGGCACGTTTCTTTAACCTGGGGGGGCGAGGACTAGGACTAGGAAATAACTGTTCACTGGTCGGTTGTCAGTTTCATCACTTGGTTGCTGGAGTTTGAAACCATTTCCCAGAACCTCAGAGGACAAACCTGGAATGGGTTCCGTTCATTCTTGCGATATATGTAGATATTCTAAAAAGACATAACCGTTTTGAAGTCCTGGGAAGCGTCCTCCTCAGCCCGATCAGGTGGATGACAATCATGGGGAGTTTGGAGCTGGGTCTTTGCGGGCGAGATGAGAAGTTTCTGCCTTCAACTGGCCTACAAAGTCCCAGTCCCCGGCTCCTAACTTTGCGATGCCGCTGGGCACCTCCCTGCGTGGAAGGAAAGGACTCTATTAACAGCGGGTGCAAACTTGAAAGCGTGGGGAATCGAAGAGCGCTGCTGCTACGGGGGGGGGGGGGGGGGGGGGGGGGGCGGGGGGGGAGGGGGGGGGGGGGGGGGGGGGGGGGGCGAAATGTTCCCCCGCGTCTCTGGTTTGTTCTTCTGCAGCTTCCAGGGCTTCCAAGAAAGTGGCGTTTCCACAGACCAGGGCGCAGGGCAGGTTTTGACGCTGAACGGAGCCATCCGGTCGAAGTTCAGCCCTTTCATTTCAATGGGAGAGTTAAGCACATGCTCAGACCATGAAAAATCACTTCGATCCACCAGCACTTAATCTTGGCTGCATCTCACCTTAATTAATGAATTGCTACAGTCACATGCCATTGCGCAATCAAAAAAACAGTAAAATATAACAACATATGCCATCTTTTCTGAGGTTATATACATTTAAAAAAAATGAAATATTCCATTTAAATCTTAAAACAGAGACCAGTGTCATTCCATTCAAAACCTTCTTTTATGCAGTCAGCTCAATATCGAATCACTGTCAAACAGAAAGGCTCTTCTGCTGGCACAACAGATTTCTCCCTCTTTTCCTCCTGCTTGTTTGAAAGTATTTGTGTCTTCCAAATCTGCAAGTCATGCTACCATAAAGGAAATCTGTCTCAAGGCCTTAATCTAATGTTTATGATACCAGTTCCCTGTCTGTCTTTTTTAAAAGTCTCTTTGATCTGGGGGAAAAACAGGGAACAGTATTTTATACTAATATACAGTTCTTCTTTAAAAAATCAACATGGAACTGGTGGTTTGCATTCCACTACTAACAAAATTAGGCCTTCATTTAGCCTATAATCCTGTTCCATGTGAGTAAAACATAACAGGAGTCCACTGACACTTTACAGTGCAATCCTAAACAGAGTAACACCCCCCTAAATCTATTGAACTCAATGGGTTCAGAAGGGTGTAACGCCGTTTAGGGTTTAACAGCATTTATTCCAGCATCAGTTTACGAGAGTTGGAACACACTTCATCAGATGCGTGAAGTGCACTTCATTAGGCCAATGTATTTATGTTAACAACAGAAAGGCAGAAGCTGGTGTTAATATAAATGCACTGGTGTAATGGATGTACAATTCATGCCTCTGATGAAGCGTGCTTCGACTCTTGAAGCTGTAATACATTTTGTTAATCTTTAAGGTGCCTCTGGACTCCTGTTTTATTTTGCTGCTACAGACTAAGGCGGCTACCGCTCTGGAATTTCCATATTGGGTGTGTTCATAGGCCTGTACGTTGCAGGATGAATACAGTAAACAATTGCCTCCATGTAATTACACGGCATATTTTTAAAAATGTTGCCATTTATAATTTTTAGTGCTATGAAGGCAACTTTTTAAAACATTCATTATGCCGGCCATTCTTTGGTTTTTATGCATTTCTGTATGTGATCGGGAAAACCTTTAACTTGAAAATGAATGGTAGAAATATGAATCATGTGGGAGAGGATGAAGTACCCGCGTAGTGCAATCTAATCCCTGCTCAGAAATAAGTTGGCTGGTTCAATGGGACTGACTTCCAGGTAGTGCAGCCTTGGGGAAAAAACTTTCTTTCTCAGAATTTTGACTTTAAAGGAAAAAGCCATCAATCAACAACATTAATTAGGTTTGCCATAACTTACAGACTTGTACAGTGTGCTTGCTTGAGATCTCACAACACTCAAGCGCATTATACCTTATACTTTTGCTCATATTTTTTCCAAAAGAAAACCCAGCGCTTTCAGTCAAAAGTATTATTTTGCAGAATATTTTTCTTTAAAGAGCGCAATCCTAAACAGGTCTGCTTAAAAGTCCCATTTTTTTCTCCCATAGGGCTTACTTGCAGGAAATTGTTCTCAGAATGGCAGCTTAAAAAGCCTAACAAATCTTCATTTTCTTTCCAAGGAACAAAACCCTTAAATCCCTGATCTGTGGAGCTGTTTCTTTGGAACTTTGCTTTCAGGTTACACAGTTGATCACAGTTGGATCCATCCACAAGTTAGACACAATTTGGTACGTTCCACATACCTCCCGATGCTCTGCCATCGATTAAGAAATCATTACCCTGCAGCTTTGAAAATGTCTGCATCGTTTCCTTTATTTGCCATTAAAGTGTGAAAACTCTTATTTGCGACAAACAAAATATCTTGGGATAAATATCATCGTCGTGATTAGTCCCATACAGTTCCAAGGGGATGGATTTTGATGGGGAGGCATAAATTTGTTCAAGCATTTACTATTTTGTAAAGGCTTTTAGAGCCAGCTAAGTGTTGGAGATATTTGATTTTTTTAATGCTCCAAAGGTCTCTCTGCATTTTTATATACAGCAAAGCTTAGGCTAAGTCGACATGCTGTCCCAATCGACATGTCATATTGAGTTAACAGTCCGCTGTTGAGATTCTAAGTGTGATTCTAAGTGTGCGTCTCCAGGAGATTGATCCATTGCAACTGGAGAACTTTATTTCAAGTGATTCTTTAGGATCAGGGTGTTAGTTTTGGATCCACAGTCTGGAATTTAACATTCTTGTACCAAGTTTACGCCAAGTGATTCACAAGCCAAGTCGATCAGATATGTGCCAGTTGCTGTTTCTAAAAGAGCTTTGCTTCCCCACTAATGTTCTTCAAAGAATCTTCACTAAGAAACAGAATTATAAATATGATACCATTGTAAACATTTTTTTTCAGTTGCATAAATCTCAAGCTTTTGGTGGTGGCGGCGGCGGGGAATATATCCATGTGTAACTCCAAAATGCTGCCAGCATGTTCAGATAGCCTGATCTGTGCACTTTTACTTTGAAATTCCCACTTTGTTCAATGGAACAGGCTCCCTGCTAAAAGGGGCTAGATCCCAGGGAAGAAGTACACAGGGTACAATCCTATGGTATGTGAGGAGGGCGCACTAAACTCAGTGGGAACTCTGAATAAGCAAGCATTGGCTCAGGCTGCTAATTTTATTTTAAAGTTATAAATCGTTTTGCTGGCTCAGCTATATTGTTGCCCAGTTGCTTTAGGAGGCAGTGGCATCGAAAACTATTAATTATTCCAAACTTATTCCTAGCACGAGTGGGATAGA